AAAAAAAAAAGACCAAGCTATTGCTTTTCTGTATTTCTGCATTAGCAACAGATTCAACTGTTGCTTATTTTCTACAGTTAAAAACAGAATTATACTCCTACAACGAGAGAGACAAAATTCAACCAGTCAATTTATCACACCAGAGTCCACAGAGAAAATTTTAGGTATTGGAGACAAGACCTTGGTCATGTTGTGGCCAGTTTATTTTGCATCTAAATCTGAGGTTTCCAACAGTAGAAAGTCACAAAAAAAAACACCCGCACATTTGAAGTCAGTGATGGAGGTGTCCATCAATTTTCATCCGTCTCTCATGCTGGTTTGTCCATCTCGAACCGAACTGTGACATTTAAACAGTTTTATTTTTCTGTGATTACCATAAACCACCTCAGGTACTTTCCACACTGGACTGTTATTAAAGTGGGTCTAGGTTCTGGACTCTCTCGCGCACCCCCCCCCCCCCCCCCTCCTCCCTCCCCTCTCCTCCCACTCCTTCTCTTTTCTTTGGTTTGTGGGCAGTTGGAGGTCAGCATTTATGCAGCCAAGACCATAAACCACTGGAACCGCTAACTGACTCCCTGCCTTCTATTGTTTTGATCATGAGAAACTGAGCAGAGAAATTGGACCAACACTGAGAGCAGGATACCAGCCTCAGTGAGAATGTTCAAATGTGAGCATGATGTCAGATTAAAATGAGTCCTTCCATGTGGGAAATCGTGCGTCTGTGACGCTCGATCGTCATGTTTATTGTCTGATTCAGCAAGAAGTGATCCAAACCAATTCCTTAACATCAGAATCGGTCAAAAACAAAATGGAGAACTGATCCAGAATGGGGCTAAAAAAAAAATCACACAGAACTCATCCAAAGCAGCGCATAAACGTAACAGAAAACTGGTCTCAACTAGAGCTAGCGCCTCAAGAAAAGCTGCCTAAACCAGTACTGAGACAAAGAATTGGACCTAAACATAACAAGAGTTGTTTCAAAACCTAAACGAAAAATGACAAGTCAAAATCTTGGCTGAAACGCACAGAAACCGGTCAAACCAAAACGTAAAGATCAAAGGCAATTGACCAACCAAGACTGAGACATCAAAGGACCTAAACATAACAGAGTTGTTCCAAAACCTAAACAAAAAATGACTAGTCTAAATCTTGGCTGAAACGCACAGAAACCGGTCAAACCAAAACTTAAAGATCAAAGGCAATTGACCAACCAAGACTGAGACATCAAAGGACAAATCCAAACCAGGATGTAAATATGATAGCAAACAAGTCCAAAATGGCTAGAATAGCATAGCAAACTCGCCCAAATCTCTCTACCAGATCCTGAAAGTTACAAGCTGGGAGAAACTAGAGACCAGATAACTGGTCTGAACCAGAACCCGAATATCACAGATAACTGGTCCGAACCAGAACCAGAATATCACAAAAAACGGGTCCAAAATAGGATTAAAAAGTAGTCCAATTTCCAATACTATAAGTAACAATAAGTCTATGTTTTCCATATTTTAATGAAATATAATTTTACAAAACACCATGAACATAAAGTGTTTGTGCTTGATTTTTTGCTTTTAAAACTTATCAAACCGGCCATATTGAACCCCTTAGTGGGCTGGTTTTGGCCCACGGGCCTTATGTTTGACACCCCTCAGACAAACTATGCAGTGAACCAATCCAAGGCCTTCCCAAACAGAACTGGTCCAAACCAGAACTGATATTAGTGTATTTGTGTTCGTGTGTGTTTCTCAGTTTGGATGAAAACACTTGACTGTGTCCCTCACCTCTGCTGAGTCAGGACTGGATAAATGGAGTCAGTCAGGGTTTTTTTTTTTCAGACACAGAGGACACCTTATACTGAAAGCAGGTGTGTTTTCAGCCCAAATTGCTGAAGAGCAGTAGGCGACGGAGACAGAGGAGGAGAAGGAGGAGGTGTCATAGCAGGAAATCCATGAAACCATTTCGTCGTTTCGTATGGAAATTGCGGATGGAAATTTAGGCTAAAAAAAAAAAAAACAGCCAAGGATATTAGCAGCAGCTGGAGAGAACTGAAAATGAACAGACCTACACACACACACACACACGTGTGCAAACACACAGAAAGTGAAGGTTCAGCTTCTTCTTTACCTTGAGACTAAATTTAGACTTTTTTTTTTTTTTTTTTTGCTCAGAAACAGATTCTTCATTTAAAACAATTTTCCCTGCAAGATTTTAAAAAACAACTTTAGGGAATGTGGAGCACAGAAGACATCACAATAATTGTTTAGTTGGCCGTTTGTCATTGCTACAAATAAAGCCATAAAATTAAGTGAATTTTATTTGTTTTTGTTTTCTGACTGTTTTTATTGCCAAACGTGTAAACATCAGATAAGTATTGGAGTTCTTTTCCAATAAAGTTGGTAAACTGTCATTTATCAGTGGTCCCTAACCTTTTTTGTGGGGTCCTAAACACAAAAAATGACTAGTCCAAATCTCGGCTGAAACGCACAGAAACTGGTCAAACCAAAACTTAAAGATCAAAGAGAATCGGTCCTAACCAGAAACCAAAAATCAAAGACAATTGACCAACCAAGACTGAGACATCAAAGGACTGATCCAAACCAGGATGTAAACATTATAGCAAACAAGTCAAAAATGGATAAATATATAAATATAAATAAAAATTTGTTTGACTTTGTACCAGTACTAAATGACTTGCGGACCGGCACTGGCCCACGGACCAGGAGTTGGGGACTCCTGATTTACATCTTATATCATTATACCTGCAAAACACAGTAGATCATTGCGTTCACTGACGAA